GTTACCTAAAATAAGTTGTATAGAGCTTGTGCCCATCCATCATACAAATAAATAAACAAATAAATAATAAAAATTTATTAAAATAGCCGATAGAAAGCTCAAAAACCTTATCAATGTCAATTGGTAATGATTGATTGAGTTCTTACTTGATCCTCAATACAGAGCTGCTGGAAGAGATTTTCGTAGTTTTCGGCCTTGATTTTTATCAGCTCGTGCAAATAGTAAATTTTCGGCCTTGCAGCTCCAGTTGCCGATAGAGCGATACTACTTGGTCGTAAAAGAGATTTCGTGAAGTACACGTAGTACCACTGATCGTCGTTCATCAGAGGGGATTCTGTGCCTACAGGGGAGTTTTAAGATCAATAACCAAATTGCTAACAATGTTAAAATTAACTATGGATCTCAAAACTCCTCCCACCGTGAAATGTGCACGTAAGAAAATATATTCTCCACTTACTCTCCACGCGGCCTTGACAAACGCCCCTCCTCCAAACGGTAGCGAGCGCTTCCTCCTCGTCTCTCCAAATATTTGCCAGCAGCGACAATAGTCCCCTATTTTTGTCGGCCCTAAGCCGCCACGTGAATATGAAGCAGTCGCATGAGTCCGTCGAGCTGCAGATATCGCTGAGTAAGGCAAGGTAAAAACTTTGCACCGCCAGATTCGCCGTTTCCATGATGTCCAGCACGAGGTAGAGCCCGGCATGTTTCAAAAAGGCCTCGAGCACGCGAGAGCAGCTGGTCGTGCATTTCCAAACGAACGAAGCAATAGCACCGAGATAACTGTTTTTTTTCCAAATGTTACAAAAAATGATTATTTGTTCAATAAGTAAATTTTGATATTTGAGAGAAAGAGCGTCTGATGATTGACCTTTGCTCGAGTTCAGAGTCCTTGTTCTTCGGATCAAGACATCGTTGCAGTAAATCAACGGCCGTACCAACAATCAAGTCGCAGTGGCACTCGCAGAGGTCTGTTTTGTTTGCTATTATGTTCTCGCTCGTTGTGAGTAGCAGAGTAACGAGTCTCTGACGATGTGAGGACAAATTTTCCGAATCAAGGGTTTTGGTAACTTGTTCTGAAAAATTGCAATTTTTTATGAATACAAAAATTGTATTTTTCATTCGTGACTTCAGTGGTTAGGTAGGGGGACGCTTAAATTTATAAATAAAATAATGAAGTTATAATTATACAGCTATAAAAAAGCCCCCCCATTGCCCATTGACCCAGACTACACTTACTGTGCGTTAAATTTAAATTCAAGTCTAATTTTCTCCATCTCTACTGGTGTTTTGCACCTCCAAAAACGAAAAAAAAAAAAAAAATAGCAAAGGAGCCCCCCCTTCCCGGAAGCGCTGGGGGCTTGGATCGTGCAAGCTGATTTTCTTTTTTTTTTCGCTCTCCCTTCGGGGTAGTAGAATAGTGCCGACGGCGGTAAGACTGGTTTTCAGCCGACAGCCGGGGAGACCTTGATCCTTTTTGGCAAGGTATTTTATTTTTTTTTTTCATGCAGTTCGTATCGTGATTTTTATACTATAAAATAATAACACGTTCTAAATAAAAAAGGGAGGGGGGGGGGAAAAGAAAATCAATTTCCACGCACTGACGTAATCTTCCGTGAAGGAGACCGTCTAGCATACGAAACGATACGTATCAGCACGAGATCCGGCAAATTCACTATCGCAACGATCCACTCGAGCTGTTATCCCACCATCGGAAGATCTTCAAGAAGCAGTAATAGTGAGTTTCCCCGGCCACGAGAGCCCACGTATACACTCACTTCACAACGAAGAGTAGAGTCGGGTTGCCCGACCAAAGGACACGAAACAATGTACCATCGTGCCCCGTGTCGGGCTTCAATGAAGTATAAGCAAGATAAACATACCGATTTAGACGATTTAGCGGGACACCCGGTACAATATCACTCGCAAGCTCTACGGTTTTATCGCACTGCCCGTGGTGTACTCGTTACGTTGCGTCTTCGGATGAAATTCCTCGCATCACGGCGCAACTAACCGGGCGACCGAAAAAAAAGTCAGTCCGGGGCAGGGGGGTGGGGTGGTGGTGGTGAAGGTGATNAAAAAAAAAAAAAAAAAAAAAAAAAAAAAAAAAAAAAAAAAAAAAAAAAAAAAAAAAAGAAGATTTTATTTTAAAGTACCACTTTTCTTCAATTAGACTGAAATTTAAATAGACTTCGTATGAATACGACAATTTACACGATGAACGCCATCAGAGGGTATCTGGGCGACGAGGGCAACGCTGAGCAGCACAGTCTTCTTGAAAGCGAGAGCCTCGCGGCTGCTAGTTTCGATCATGTCACAAGCTTCGCCGAATTCCGTAGCGACGCTTAAATCAGCCAAGTCTTCGACAAGGCCACTGGTCATTAGATCCCAGCTGGTGGCCGTTTTCGACCTCATGAGGCTTGCGAGTAGTAGGTTCGCGAGGTTGTTGCGCAGCTCCCGATTACGCGAGCTTTGCTTGCTGAGCAATACTGCGCGCCTGAACGCGGCTTTTAGGCTCCTAAAATCAGTGCATGGAAGTAGGATGTTTTTGATGGTTTTTACTTTTTCCATCCTGACGTCGCGAGACTTTAAAGAGAATGATTTTTTGTTTAAAAGATGATGTAAAAGAAAAAGCTTTGCGGTTGCTTAGTTTGCACATGTTTACCGCAATTCAAGAGGTGGCAGGATAATTTAACTTTTACAAAGAATTTCAGTTTTTCCAAATGATTTTTTGAACGCTCGAAGAAAAAATCTAATTTTGTATTTTGATAAAAAGTTGATTTTCTACGATAAAATAATGATTTTCTGACTTGAGTGATGTATGTGTGTTGTTATAGCAAAACTAACTTAACTATCCATTGTCTTATCAAAAACTTTTGTTTCACTACCTGCATCCTACATCAGTCAACGATTCCGGTTATCCCAATCGTCCCTCTAAACGTACAGTCCCCCATAAATGGTGATTACCACATGGCAGCCTCACTAGGTGGTTCCAACTGCCTCACCGTCCCCGGCAGCTCGCTCGCGAAAATCACCGCCGTCATCAGTCGCCCCAGAACCCCTGCAGCCAACTCCGCGGCTCCGCAATAATCCTCCCTCTCGAGGTATAAGTCCCCGTCGTCCGTCACCTGCAGGCACTCCGATCCCAACCCGTAGGCTGGATGCATCCTCAGCAGCAACTCGTTTTCAACCCCAGCCTCCAGCATCCTGAAACCTATTTTTCGAAAAGCACAGCCCATCACCGTTGGAACCACGACAAAATACCTTCCTAGGCTTACAGCAAACCGTAGAAGCGGAAACGACAGCCAGCACCAGCTCGAGGACTACCGGGTACGTTTCCCAGGATGACGCTCCGACGAGCTCGGCCAGAGTGACCGAAAGCCTCGAATCCTCCAAGGCTCCGAGAAGCGCGTCCCGCTTGACGGTGTTTCTAGCTCCCTGGCGCCTCTTCGGTTGCATGAGTCGCTCAATGGCCCCTTTGGCCAACAGGAAGTGGCATCTCGTCGGTGCCAGCCCGAGTAGGTAGCCCAGTAGGCTGAAGTGGCGCTTCAGATTACTAGCGGAGCCGAGGATCTCGGAGGATCGCCGCAGACGCGGGGGTAGGGAGCAGAGGGACAAGAGCCGCTCGAGGACTGCGGGGTACTCGTCCGATTCTTTGGCCCGCATCGACAGGAACTCGAGGATCTCGCCGATCTGCGGCAGGTGGTGCAGGTACTGGAGGACACTCGTTGAGGATGCTTATGGGGGGAGGGTATCGATTTTGGTAGAAAATCGAAAGAGCGGGGTTGAATGGTTGAGGGAAGGGGTTTTTCAAGGATACAAAGCCGTCGGTGCCATTGTACTCGAGGAGCTTGCGCAGCAAACAACGGACAGTCGGGGTGTCCCCTCTGAGGGTGGGATCGCCAATCAGATCGGCGAGTTTTTTTATCGTGTTGGTTAATTTTATCAAGCGGCAGTTGTCATCGTCCTCGTCCGTGCAAGATGAGCGTAGTTCCAAGGAGGAGTACGACCGTAGACTGGGAGGTGTTAAGGGCGAGCCTTGGCCGATATCCGATGAGCTTTGGCTCTCGTGGTCTTCGTGCGTTTCTGCGGTGAATATGAAATTCCCATCGTATGGGGACTTGTCCATCGTTTCGGTCATCCGAATTCTGTTTCAATTGTTGAGGGTTTCACTTACTTTTGTTCAATTTTTACAACAATTTTATATTTGTTTAATATTTTAGCTGACAAAGATCCGTACGTAGTATTTTTTAAACAAGAGGGATCAACGTGGTTATTGGCGCCGTCTATAGGTTAGATGACCAATCACGAGTTCACGTGGGTAACATCGAGTCTTGCCAAGTTGCCAACGCACGCGCTTCTGGAACTACTTACCATCTGATGGTATGGTGTGATTTAGGAATGAATCATATGTAATACCAGTAATACGCACGTTAATTATAATTAATGAAAAATTGTGATTGAAAGATCGGCATAGGAATTACTTCAACGTTCATAGTAGGAGTTATGGTGTAAAAATTTTCTAAAGCCAATACACATTTTTTTTATTACTAAGGACGAGTGGCATATTTTAAGGAATAAATTTTTATTGTGTTTTCAATAAACATCATACTACTAGAGTTATCAAATGTAGTATTTTTTATTACAATCATTTCAAATGCATATACAAAATAAAAGGTTGTATCTAACCTTAACATTAATAATGGAAAGAGTTTTATTCATGGCTTTGTTTCTTTGAAGAATGCAGTGTTTCCATTGCTTCTAAGGAATGTCCCAATAGCTTTAGCATTAATGAAGGATTAGAAATAAAGAAATTATTACACTCCTCAATTTTTAATGCTTCTTTGTGGTTCGACAGGACAAACTGTACTCCATTGTCCATTAAAGAATCAATTTTATATTTTTTTGAAAAATTCAATATTAATGCTATGTTCTTCAAGCTTAAGGATTCACTCAAATACTTTATGTAATTCAGATCTTCCGCCAAAGTAGCTTCATTCGATTCGATAAACTTTTCTGCTGCAGTTCTTAAATTCGAAAGTTCATATTGATCATGATTTGTTAAATCTAAAGTATTAATTAAATTTTTTGTGTTTATATTAGATTCTAAATAGTGTTTGCAATTATTTTCCAATGGTGTAATTTCCAAATAGTGTGCCAACTGGAATAATTGATGAGGATTTACATTCATATCACACGTGTCTGTATAGATATAATTTAGTAGTTGTTTAACAACCGCACCATCCCATTGCTCTAGTTTTAATGTGCTGGTTTTTTTTTCAATCATATCTGCCTCTATCATTTTGCAAAGCACTTTGCTTCTTACGGAAAGTATGGTCTTGTGCACTTTAAACAATTGACCTTCAGCAACTAATTGTAAATCAGAATAAGTTGTATTCAACAGCAGCCGATGCATGTCTTTAACTAGATTATTATTACTTAGTTCATTATCGTAATAGATTTTTATTTCAACATCGAGTCCCGAACGCGAAATTCCATTTGTAAACGTTGATTCATAAAGCATCTTCTTGTCTGATACGAAATTTTTGTCGTTCAATTTATAGAGAGTAAAAAAATGTTTGTTTATCGATGAATTAAAACTAACTGATAATTCCAAAAATGTTCTCCGCCAATAGGATGGTTTTTGTGTAAACTCGAGACTAACGACCATATCAAAAATACTGTGGCGAGTGTGGTAACCATCGGATACATTGTTGCGGACAATTTTTATGGAGCATTAGCTTTCAAATTTCGGTAAAAAAAATACTTCGGATGGCTGATTAATTTGGTACTTGGTAAAATGCAACGTGATAACAGATTGATCAACACGATTTACAAATGTGCTTGTTAAAGTAGACATTTTTCTGTAATTATAATAAAATAAACATATAAATAATTTAATAATTAATTGACTTGTTACTGTCTATACCGCTGCCGTAGAAAAAAAGAATGTAAGTTTCATTTATTTACAAAATATAGTTATTTACTCCTACGAATTCATTAGACATTCGTAAATCTAATGGCATTTTGAAAAATTTCTTTAATTGTCAACAGTTAAACAATGATTTATAATAATCATAATAATTTAAAACATTTGACACTGGTTGAAACACTGGTTATTTATATTGAGTGGCTACCCGCATAAATATACATTCACTTTTTTTCTGTGACAGCGGTGTAACACTAAAGTTAACTTGTTAAAATCAAAATGACAAGTAATGAAAGTATAGTGTTTTTTGGCATAGAATCCAAATTTACTGGTTTATTTTTGGTAAAAGAGGTATAATTTAACTAAAACGCAATTATTTGCAACTATTCTTAAACTAATGATAAAAATTGTACTTTTTGTTTTTTTGTATCTAACAAACTTTGAACCTTGTTGTTTGGAGAAGAAAAAGTCTTTCGGAACAATTTTGAAAAATGTGACAAGGTTGAAAAGTTTTTTGAAAACAACAATCTTACATCTTTCGCTAACTTTCAATGCAAACAATTTTTGATCTATTAAATTTATTTACAAATTTCGAAAAGGTACTTCGTCTGTAACATTGTTAATCTGCTTAGAAGATTTTTTTTTTTAAATAAGTACATGTGCAGATTTTATTGACGATAAATAGCAAAAATCAGATTCTTACATTGAATAAAAAAAAATGTTATCATGCACTTCATTATTAAAAATTACGCAATAATGCCTATTCAAAAAATTTATTATATGGTAATGAATTGAAAACGCCAATGTCCAGCCGAAGAGAGAATAATAAAAAGCCATACGTACCGACTTGCAGTTAATTGAGATCTCATCTCCAAATAAGTAGTGCCTTAATGACTATATTTTCACCTTTCCACGAATTATACATGATTGTTATAAATAATCAATATGCACAATGCATTGGTTGATGCATATATTAATCAGAATTATATTTAACCATCCAGTGGAAACATGTTTCACACTCGATTTTTTGGTATACTTTTATGCAAAATTGTCTCCTACAAACAAATCTGCACGTTCCTAGATCGAAAAAAGAGGGAAAAATTTTCATATCAATCAGTTTCCTCAGCTTGGAGCAAGAAAGATCTGTTACAATATTTTCTCTAAAGTTTATATAGTTTTAGAGATATTAATTAAGTAAAGTCCGATAAAACGATAAAATGTGAGAATGGCCATTTTCAGCCTTAACAAAGTTCCAAAGCGTTTTAGACAATTATTTCTTTGCAAAATCTTGTTTTTTCGTGTGTACTCTCAAGATATTGAAATGGATATCCATATTTTAACAAAAACTGTGTATTTATCGATATAGGATAAGAAAGCAAAGAGTTGCAATAAAATAATGGCCTAAAACGCTTTGTTAAGTGATGATTGAAAGATATTTGAGAACTTTTACAATATAGAAATTTTCTATTTTTTTCCATCGTTCTTGAGGGCTAAAAATTTCCATTTTGGCATTTATAAAACTTTATATAATAAGTGTCTTTGAATCTATTAACTTAAAATAACAAGCTTATGATATTTTTTTGTTCTAAATTGTCCAAATTATCTTAAAAAATTTCCCAGGTATGAAAAAACAATTTTAACCATTTGACTAAAAAAAGTATTTTTGTTATACTTTTTTTAACTTGACAACGTGCAAAATTCATTTTGCAGGACCATTTTGCATAACAGTATTCAACAAAACCGAGTGTGAAAAACATTTCTAACGGATGCGACCAAAAGTACGACTCGAACTATAACATGAGAGTATGTTCCATAGAAATATAAGACGATGAGATAAGATTATTTTTTACTCGTATGGCTTATTTATGAAAAGTAGTGACTAAGCGATACAACAAGTACATACTTATGTATATAAGCTGGATGTATTACATAAATAACGGCGCGAAAGTCGCTGTCGGTCAAGTAACACGATTCTCAGAATTTTCAAAACTCTCTCCAGAATATCGTTCAGACATCTTACCGCACCTTCTCACTTTTCCACTCCTAGCGATATACTGTGTCGAATGATACCGGTAACAGCGAATTTTAGTTACAATCACGGGTTTCTTAAAGAAATGTTTAACGTTATAAGTTAAAATAAGATATGATTACTAAACAGATACAACAATTATTACCTCGATTATAACGCTGAAGATGATGCTATCATGAAATAATATTCAGTATTAGTTAAATCTTCAAAAACGCGATGTATCAATTTGTTTTATGACAATAACTGCTAAGGTCTAAAAGAAAATACTGTCACTGATTGATAGTGTAGAGGGACTCAATGATAGAAGAAAAAACTTTTAATATTACTAAAATGTTAGTTTTATTTGATTTAAAAATTGAATTACGAAGTGGTGCCACTTATACGTAGAAAAGACCAGTAAATTTTGATTTTAAGCCAAAGAGTGCATATATATCACATCATTTCGTTCATACAAATCTTGAAATGCACATGATATCATAACTAACCACCACAATAATATTGCTAACGATTGCATGCACTTGGCAAAATTGGTTTTTATTAAAAAAGAAATGGCAACATTTAAAATTGAAAACATTAAATATAAGCATACCTGATGTCAAAAAAGCTGCGTGGTTGCAGAATTAATAACAAAATGCTTCTTTGAGTAAATGCTTCTTTTTCCTTTCGAGAAGAGAGACAATGCAGAACAAGGCAGCTTAAAAATCGTAATGGTACCAAAACTAAGGAAAGACTAAGGGAAGTCCCTCTCAGGGTTGCCAGATCATTGGCGGCAATAACGGAGTACCAACTTAGTAGGCCGACGCTACGACGTTAGTGATGGCTGTTGAAACCACCCGAACCGCGCGCAATTTAAACTGTACCGCCTAAGAAAAATGTGTTCAAATATTGATTTTTAGATTAATAAACAAGGTAAAGCACCTAGTTCTTGAACAGGCAAAATCAGGACTGATTCTTGGACAGTAGGAGGATAATATTTATGTAAAATATTTAATATATATTAAACAATATTCAAAAGAAAAAATGTTGCAATGATAGTAAGAAATACATTTTTTTTTTGCGTCTAGAAACATAATTTTCTTTCACGTCATTTTGACTGCATACACAGACCTAGAAGTTTGATACTTTTAAAATGTTAGAATCGGGATTTTTTTCGTTGTTCGTTATATTATCC